TAACTCAAAAGCATCAAATCTTCTATGGTCTTCCTTATTCACTGTCCAGCTTTCATATTCATGAAAGGTTAGTGAAAATACCATGGCTTGGGTCAGGTGCACCTTAGTCCTCAAGCTGATGTCTTTTATCTTCAACACTTTAAAAAGGTCTTGTGCAGCAGATTTGCCTAATGCAATACGTCGTTTGACTTCTTGACTGCTGTTTCTGTGAATGTTGATAGTTGATCGAAAAAGCATGAAGTCTTTGACAACTTCAATCTTTTTTCCGTTGATAAGAATATTGTTTATTGGTCCAGTGGTGAGGATTTTTGTTTTCTTTACATTGAGATGCAATCCATACCAAACGCTGTGCTCTTTGATCTTCATCAGTAAATGTTTTAAGTCCTCTTCACTTTCAGCAAGCAAGGTTATATCATTTGCATATCACAGGCTGTTTCGCTGAGGGGGATGTCAATTAATGTCATGAAGCAAAATATATATAAATCGTTAAATGGAAAACATATGCTCTAAAAACTTCCACCCAAATCACAATAAAATGATGTAAAAAAAAAGCCCTCATCAATGAAAAGAGGCAAGAAAAATAAAACTTATAAAGATTGGGAAGGGAGAAGCAGAACTGTCTTTATTTGCAGATAACAATCTTACTATATAGAAAACCCTACAGGATCTACAGAAAACTCCCAGAACTAGTCAGTGAACTTAACAGGGTTGTTGTTGTTGCCATGGAGTCAGTTCCAACTCATAGGGACCCCTGTCTAGAGTTTTCCAGGAGCAGCTGGTTAAGTTTGAAATGCTGACCTTGCGATTCAAAACAAAATGAAAATAAAAATTGGCTGTATTTTTATATTCTGGCCATGATAATGGCAAAACATTTTTAAAATATAATTTTCAATCATGAGACAAAGTTCCAAAAATCTAACAAGCATGAGGTGGTTGTTGTTGTTAAGTGCCGTTGGGTCGGTTCCAACCCATAGCGACCCTGTACAAGTATGAGGAGCTTCAAATAATTTGTGGAAAATGAAATGAAAAGATAATGAAATTTTTCCACAAACTTTTGAAGGCCCTCATACACCAAGTTCAAGGATCTTAACACTCGATATTGCTAAGACGCTCATTCTTCCCAAATTGAACTACAGATTTTTTATTAAATGCAATCTCAACAAAATGAGACATTTTATAGAAATTGACAGACTTACTCTTAATGTGATGAAATGGAAAAGAGCTAGAATAGTAGATAAAAATATTTTTGGAAAAGAAAAAGATGGAGAACTCACACGTCTTATTTCAAGACTTACTAAAAAGCTTTAATAATGAAGACTGTGTTAAGATAAATTTAATCAAATAGATCAATAAAACAATAGTCCAAAAATAGATCTACATTCAATTTTCAAGACTCTAGCATAAATCAACGGGAAAACTAAAGTACTTCCAAAAAATAGTGTTGAAACTACTGAAAATACACATAGGAAAAAAGCCTCCTGGAACTTATTCTGGTATAATAATTAGGAAACTGCATCATAAGTGCTTTAGAGATGAATACTCACATTCTTTATTTTGATGTTTCCCCAGTCATCATCCTGTTTTAAAAATAAACAAAACACATTTCACCACCTATGTACAATCTAAATATGATCAACTCATTTTCAAGCTACTTCAAAATAGAGTAAAATTTATTTGGTATGAAGATTTTATTTTAAATTCTTAAAACCAAAAATATTAAATAAATCCAGGCATACCTAGAACTATTGACAGTCGCTTAAACTGCATAAGATTATCTGATACAGAAAATAACAAGTGTTTACAAGGATGTAGGGAAATTAGAATCCTTGTACTCTGTTAGGTAGAACCATAAAATGGTATAACTGCTGTGGAAACAGTCTGGCAGTCCCACAAAAATTAAATATAGAAACTATTATTCCTGGATATTTACCCAAAAGAAATACAAACTAAAACTAAAACAGATCAAAAGTTCATTGCAGCATTACTCTCAATAATCAAAAGGTGGATACAATTCAAGTGTCCATAAACAAATAAATGGATAAAAATGTAGCATTATACATACAATGAATTATTTCGCCATGAAAATAAATAAAATTCATGAACACGCATTTGAAATGCAATGAAATACTATTATATTATATATAATATAATGGACTCCTCATGTGGGGATGTTGGATTAGCACAAGGCTGTGAACAAGGTCTGCAGTTCAAACCCACAAGTTGCTCCTTGGAAAAGAAACCCTTTACAGGGTAACCATGAGCCTGAATTGACTCGACAACACTTAACAACATAGTAGAAATAGAATAAGGAAATACATATAAAATTTTATATTAATCTAAACAAAATAAACTATTACTTTTAATCTTTTCCTCATAGGAAGATTAGATTAGATTAAAGAAAAGATTAAAAGAATGGGTATTCATTGATACAATGCATTTTTAAATTAAAAATAATCCTTTCATATTAGTATTCTGAAATTGCTATAATATTCCACCCTTATATTAACACAAATAAAAAACATTTTGTCATTGAGTCAAATCTAATTCATGAGGACCCCATGTGTATAAACAATTTCATTAATCATATGCTCTATAAAACTGAAAAATATCTTAAATAGTTAACACTAAATATATTTTCTGGTATTAATTTTAATCGCTAGTCATAAAACAATAAGATGTATGAAAAATAGACAAAATTTTACCTTTAATGTTCCTCCTTTCACCATAACTTTCTGTCTGGCTGGCTGGACTCCAGTTAATGCAAAAAGCTGAGCCTTGAACACCATTGGAGGTTCATCAGTATTCAATTCTACACCTTCAAATTTCTCCTTTCCCCATTTTACAGTAACTGCAAACAAAACCACAATTTATTTTTTCATTTACAAAGTTAGATTTTAAATATCGAATATCCTTAGAAGATTACCTATTAAGCTAATTCTTGAAAGTCAATTTCTGTCATTAATCTTTTTATCCTCTTCATGTCTACCTACTAGTTGTTCACATGTAGGTCATCCTTCAGTAAAACTTACATGACATCTAAACCAACTCCTCACTTGAGAGACTAATGAGAAGTTGACTGATTTGTTAATGTCACAAAATCCATTGCTGATGTGTTGATTAATGTCATAAAACTGGTTAGTAAATATCCAAGTCTTCTGAAACCTACTCTAATAATCTCTGTAAAATTATCACTTACATATTTCCAAAAAAAAGTTATTTGATCTTCAAGAATGTGTTTAATTAAATATTCATTAAAGTTAAAACATACTTTTGGAAGAAGGAGAAAAAACACACTAGAAAGATAGTTTAGGACAGAGAAAATATAATTCTTGGGAGAATAAAGCATATTTAGTTATGAGTCTGTGGTTGGTGCAAATGGTTAATGAGCTCAGCTGCTTACCGAGTGGTTCAAATTTAATCGTTGACAGTTCAAGTCTAGCTATAGGCACCAGAAGAAAAGCGTGGTGATCTACTTCTGAAAAGTCAGCCAAAGTGATTTACAGATTAAATGCAATCCCAATAAAAATTCCAACAACCTTCTTTACAGAAACAGAAAAACCAATCTTTAGTTTTATATTGTTGATGTTAAACGCGCCCTCAAGTCAGTTCCAATTCATAGTGACCCTGTAGAGGGCTTCCAGGGAGCAGGTAGTGGGTTTGAACCACCAATCCTGAGGTTAACAGTCCAGTATTTATCCTACAGCACCACACCAGGACTCCATGTATGAGAAGGTTGTTTGTGCTGTTGTTGTGTGCCAATAGCTAAAAAAATGTTGAAAGTGAAAAACAAAACAGAACTCACAGTTCATGATTTTAAAGCATGTTATACAGATAAGGTAATCAAAACAGCCTGGCACTTTTATAACAATAGACACATAGATTAATGGAATAAAAAGTCTAGATATAAACACATATGTATGGTCAACTGATTTGTGACAAGTACATTTGATGGGACTCTTGAACCACACAGAAACAAAGCTGTCAGACCTAGCTTTCAACAGTGGATTGATGTTCTAATATGACAGTCAACAGCAAAAGACAGGAATGGGACTGCATCAAAATTAAAAATCCTTATTCATCAAAAGACTACCAAAAAGAGAAAAGACAAGTTGACCAAGAGAATCTAAAAACCAAAACAAACATAACATTGACAACTTAGTAAAGAGAAAATGGAGAAAAGGACCTGAATAAACATTTCACCAAAGAGGACATTCAAATGGCCACCAAGCATCATCAGTCATCAGACAAACAAATCACAGTTAGATATGAACTGGACTGCTAGTCATAGTTATTCAACCTATCAACCACTCCTCAGGAAAAAGATGAGGTTTTCGGTTTCCATAATGAGTTGGTGTTGTTGCTAAGTGTCACTGAGTCAGTTCCGACTCAAAGGGATCCTGTACAGGGTTTCCGAGAAGCTGCTGATTGGTCTGAACTGCTGATTTTGTAGTTCAAAGTCCAGTGCTGATCCTACAGTGCCACACCAGGAGTCCCATAAAGATTTAAAGCCTCAGAAATCCTGTATACAGGATCACAATGAGTCAGAATCAACTGGATGACAGTGGTTTGGGGTTTTTTGGGTTAGGACTGTTAAATTAAAAAAAAAAAATGATGTGGGGAAATTGAACTTTGTTGCTGGTGTGAATGAAAAGTCAGCCATTGAAAACCCTACGGAAACAGCAATGAAGCTGCTAAGCCCTACAACGTTCAATAGACTCCTGTGAACCTGGGTGGAGACCTGGTTGCCCAGCAGTGTGGCAAGACCTGGGGACTCTTGGGCCCAAAGTCAGTGACAAAGCCACAGAGGACTAGAGTGGAGAGTGAAGCAAGCGTCCAGCTGATAAGAAGAGAGGGCATATGCACAAGAACAACCATATGTGCAGATAATATCCATTTGACCTGGATTCATTGACTGGATGATCAGAGCCCAAGCAGAAGAAGAAAGAAGAGGGAAAAAAAAAGAGTAATCTGATACAATTTGATGAACTTGACCTACACCTATGGATGCAGTAGCTCAAAAGAGGGAACAAATTCTTACAGCAAGGATCATTCCCACCCTCTCCATTCACAGGGTAGACAGGGATGTGCAACTTGGACAATGGCAAGAAGTGCCTGGCTTACAAGCTTTCAAGAGGGAACCTAGTTTCAGAGGGCATGAAGGAAGGTAGAATCTCCACTGAGTTGTATACAATCTGTCTAGGCGGGGCTGATGAAATGAAATGTGGATGGGTCTCTTTTGATACAATAGTGAGTAATTGTTATCAGGACTGGTTGTGAGGATTGGAAATGTAAAGGTAGACATTTTATAGCAAAAAGGGGAGTAATTAACTTTTCAGTCTAGGAGCTGAGGTCCCTGGGACAATCAAGGGAGAAAAGCTGCGAGCGGGACCCTACCCAGAGAAGCAGTGATGCCTGAGATGGAGGCAGAGATGATGATGTGGAGAGATGGAGCAGCTGGGGACTTTAGACACAGAGAGGGAGAAGGGCTGTATGCTGACGACCGGGGGGCAGGCTTGTAGTATACACCCACTGGTTGGTTGATGATGCATGGAAGGTACTCTGACATGGCAATGAAACGATATACGATAGGATGAATGTAAAACTAATGTTCTCCCATGTAAACTATCACATAATTCACAATAAAACATTAAAAAAACCCAACAACCTAAGGACCAAAATTCTACTCTGAAATACATGGGTTGCCATGAATTGGAATGACGTGGTAAGTTTAGAAATACCGATCCTGGGTTATAAGTAAAGAAAAGCAGAAGAGAAAATAAATTGCAATTTCTGAGCAGAGGTTTTAACTATTATGTGAAGAATCCAAAGATATAGCTATATCATTAAAATATATAAATCAAATTTCAATCAGTGTTAGGAATTAGCTAATTTTGTAAATATGTGAAAAGTTACAAACTTGAAGAGTTTGTTTATACTGAAAACTTTATGCCCAACTCTACATGAGAATCTCACAATTTAATAATTGTCTGATTCCCAACTTCTAAAACCAGTTGAGCACTCATTCAAAGACAAGCACAGTACCAAGCACTTGGGAGACTCCTGTGAGCCAATTAAGAGAGCAAGGCAGGGAAAGAAAGTTCATACTGGTCATAATTGTTGTTTGTTATTAAGAAGTGCCATCGAGTCAGTCCCGACCCATAATGACCCTGTATAGGGTTTCAAAGGAGCAGCTGGTGAGTGTGAACCACCAATCTTGTGTTTCAAACAGATCTTGTGGTCCAGTGCTTTATCCCACAGCACCACACAAGGACTCCAACAGTACAATACTAATGTTACAAATGCTGTAAAAACACAGAGAAAGCTTCAGGATTGAGGAAAGATTTTCTAAAGGAAGCAAAAATTTAAAGAAAAAAAATATGTACATGCTAGTCAGAGGCCAAGAAATACCTTCAAAAGCAATTGCCCTGATATAATTCCTAAAGTGAAGGGAAAGCGTAACAACAGATGAAACTGAAAATAAGTGTCAAGTTAAGAAAGGTAACATTAAGTCATGCTAAAATTTTTAATCCCTGAAAGGTTTTCATAAAGATCACTTTGGTCTAGTTTGAATATTAGATCACTCTAGCAGTAGCCCAGGAAAAAGATGAGGCTTTCTGCTCCCTTGGTTTCCAAGAGGCAGTTGGTGAGCTTGAACAGCCGGTGTTCTCAGAAACCCTATGCAGGGTCACAGACTCCACAGCAAACCACCACCAACAGCAGCAAGAAAAATGGAACTGAAGGGGATACAACTATCAGCTAGAAACATACTCAACAGATAACATAGGGCTAGTTCAAAAGACTGTTAGAAATAACCAAAAGGAAACTATCTGAAATTTATTTAGCGTTTTCACCTACACCAAGTTATTTTAACTTTTTGCAGATCCATAAAAGGGTTATTCCAGTATCACAGGATTCTGTTGAAAATTAAAACATAAAACAACGCAACATAGGATATTCTGAAGGTTAAAACAAAGCAGCATGCATAAAACCCTAGCTCTGTACCAGGCAAATAGTTGTTAAGTGCTGGTGAGTCTTAGATGTTCAGTAATTTTTATGGACTTTACCCATAATCATATAAGAATGTAGGTATTGCCTCTGGATTGCTGGCAGCAAGGTCAACAGTTCAAACCCACCAGTTGCTCCTTGAAAACTCTACTCAGGTTGGATATGAAACAGAACCTAGTAGATAGCACTTAAAAAATAAAACAAGAAATAATATCTTAAATGTTCACTTCATTTTAATGCAACGTTGTTTTTATTTTAATAAGTTGAAACGTGAACACAGATTCTCAATATTGAGACATGTAATGGAAGGAATCTTAGAAATTTACTTCATTTTATCCTGCTAGGCTAATTAAATACATAACATGGAAATTAATTTTTAAGACAGAAACGTTGGTGAATATAGGCATTTCTGCATGGGCAACAACGGGAGGGGATGGTTTTGAGGCCTGTGGGTCTGTGTGCAAGTGTTGTTAGCATACAACCTTCTTTATTTAATGCATAAATAGGATATTTTCAAACACTGCTCTGCTAATTGTTGTGGCTATAAAAAGGGGTTGGACAATCATTATTAAAAGCATGCCACTCAAGTTTCTAGACCACAAAGAATCGATCCTGAGTTAAAAACAGTCTGATTCATATTAACTTTTGAAAATGCTGAATCTATTAAATAAAGGCATTGTGACAGAATAGAGTCCGAGATGGTTAATTAATCATACCTGCACAGCCAATCAGGTCAATACATACATTTTAGGTGCCATTTTGAATAAGGATAGGAAACAGCAAGATCCATTCAATAAATAAAAATGTGGTGTCTGGCTAGTACCTTGGACTGCCATTGTCCAAAAATGTCCGGTCATATACCAGTCAAAAATAACTGGCAACCTCGTACAACTGTATTCATCTACCTCTCAAAGTTAAGATTATGCTTCTCGTATAGCCCCAAACAATGCTTGATTAAATAAAAATTAAGCAAAAAGATAGGTTCGCAATCTACCGCGGGATAAAACTGAAATTGGTGCAAAAGATGCGGTCGGGCCAAAGTCAGCAAAAGGTACAACAAGGGAGAAAGGAGGCCTTAGAAGGAAACGCCAACACCTGGGTCTTTCATCTTTTCCTAACCTCCTTCCCCACTTCCCTTCTACAAGCTACCTCGGGAGTGCCCAAAGGCGCACACCACCTTCAGCCAGGCCCGCGGTGGCCTGGGGCACACCCTCGCCTATCCCGACACCCTAGGTCAGCGACAGAAACTCCTGCAGAGTCACGTCTCCGAAAGGCCGACACTAGCTGCTGCCCCACCTCGGACGGGGATTCCTGTCCCAGGCCACCCACCCCTGGCCCGACTTGGAAAGCATTCCCACACGTCGCAGGGCTCAGAACGAGGAAGGATGAAGATGCAGGGTCAGCACGACATCTGAGTACCCTGCTCGCCCCACCCTCCCCTACCCCGCCCCTGCCGCCGCAGGGTCAGGCCTACTCTGAGGCCTAGCATCGGGGCGGGAGACCGCGGCGCGAGGCGAGGACGGAGCTCACCAGAGTAGAGAGGCATGGCGGGGGCCCAGGGGAGGCAGTGGTACAGGAAGGCTGGGCCTGGCAGGAGCGGCGAAGGAAAAGGAAGGAAAAAAAGCAGCGGCAGCAGCCGAGGTGGAGGCGCGGTAGCAGTAGCGGCTGCAGCTCCGATGCGACGCGAGTCTCATTCAAACCGGCCACTGGCGATGACGCAGCAACACGCAGTTCGCCAAGCTGAAGAGCTGGACGAGTGCGAAGGGGAGGCGAGACGCGGGAGGATAGGCCAGGCCTGCGGGAGGAAGGAGGAGGGAGATGGGAAGAGGGGCTGGCTGAGGGGAGGAGAGTGGAAGGGGTAGGTGGTGGGAGGGGCGGCGCGGGGAGCTGCGCCGCCGGTACAGGTGCGCGCCTGCGCACTGACAACGCCTAGCCGCCCTGTCGCTTTGCCTTGCGCGTGTCCTACGACCAGCAGTCCTGGTAGCAGTGGGAGGGAAAAGTGGTAATCCGATGGCTCTCTTTTTTAAAAACTGTTGTCCCTGTTTTCGAAATGGTGGGCCAGGAAAGCTCAGAGGGGTTTCCTATTGTTAAGTGTCGTCGAGTCGATTCCGACTTATAGCGATCCTGTACAGGGTTCCGAGGAGCAGCTGGTTGGTTTAAACCACTGACCTTGAGGTTAGCAGTCCAGTGCTTATCCTACAACGTTACACCAGAAATCCTGTTGTTAGTATTGCAGGAAAAAACTACTAAAACATGTACTAAGAATATGGAAAATAGAAAGGAGACTAGCTAGAATAGAACAAACGCTGTGTCTGCGGGACAGTGCTGAAATGAGAAGTGATGTGGTTATAGAGAGCCTGTATGTCAAGATAAAATGTTCAGTCTACCAAGATTTCATCACCCCAAGTAGAAAGTCAGTACTCTTAAAGCATTTGCTAAGCACCAGTTTACACTTTCCTATTTGTATTTCACTATCATTTGTTAAGTGCTGTGGTGTTGATTCCAACTCATAGTGACCCTGTATAAGTTGAACCACTGACCTTGTGGTCCAGTACTTATCCTACAGCGCCTCATTTGTGTCTCTGACTTATTAAGCATAATGTTTTCAAAGTGCATCCATTTGAAAGATGTACTAGAATTTCCCTTCACTTTATACATGAATAATATTCTATGGTATTTATATATCACATTTTGTTTTCCATACATTTATTTATTTCCATACTTGGGTTGTTAAGAAATTTTGGCTGTTGTAACTAATATTGCCATGAACAATGAACATTGTTGTTAAATGCTGTCAAGTCGGTTCCAACCACAAGCGACCCTGATAGGGTTTCGGAGGAGTGGCTGGTGAGCTTGAACTATGGACCTTGTGGTTCAAACTAACTTTGCAGTACAAGGCATTAACCCACAGTGCCACACCAGGACTCCCAGTGAACATTAGTATACAAATAGCTCTTTGGGTCCCCTGCTTTCAAGCATATGAGGGTAAGTCAAAAAGTATTGCTCCTAGTGTTCTAGTTAATACATACACAGATTTATTTCAAACAAAACAGGTCCCTGTGATCCGTGAATGGATGCAAACATTTGTCTTCTTATTGTTGTTTTTGTTAAGTGCCACTGAGCAGTTCAACTCATAGTGACCCTGTATAGGATTTCCCAGGAGCAGCTGGTGAGCTTGAACCACCAACCTTGTGGTTCAAACTGATCTTATGATCTAGTGCTTATCCTACAACACCTCACCAGACATCCCTTATTGTTATTAGGTGCCATCCAATAGGCTCCAACTAATAGCAACCCTATGTACAACAAAAGAAAACACTGCCTGGTTCTGTGCTGTATCATCCTCACAATTGTTTCTATGTTTGAGCACATTGTTGCTGCTACTGGGTCAGTCTATCTTACTGAGAATCTTCCTCTTTATCAATAACTGTTTACTAAGCATAATGTCCTTTTCCAGGGACTGTTCCCTCCTGATAACATGTCCAAATTACTTCAAAAAAAGTCTCACAATATTCGCTTCTAAAGGGGCATTCTTCCTATACTTCTAAGATTTGTTTGTTTTTCTGGCAGTTCATGGTAATTTTAGTATTCTTCACCAACATCACAATTCAAATTCACAGATTCTTTTCTGGTCTTCCTTATTCATTATACAACTTTCATATTCCTATGAGGCAATTGAAAATACCATGGCTTGGATCAGGCATACCTTATACCTAATAAAGAGCATTTCAAGATTTATCTGGACGTTTGGTATAGGACAATGTCCATAGGCCTGCAAGGAAAACTAGTTAATATGACTATTACTCAAATTTATGCACCAACTATGAAAGCCAATGAAAATAAAACTGGAGAATTCTACTGACTTTGACAGTATGAAACTGATCAAACATGTAGTGAATATACACTAATAGTTACTGATGATTGAAATGTGAAAGAAACAAAAGGAAAGAATCAGCAGTTGGAAAATATGGCCTTGATAGAATTCATATTTTATCATACTCACATGATAGAATTTTGCAAGACAATGACTTTCTCATTTATTTTTCAATAGCATAAACAGCAACTATATACATGAAACTCACCAGAGGAGATACACAGTAATCAAATTCACTACATCCATGGAAAAAGACTATGAAGAACTTCAGTATCAACAGCCAAAACAAGGCCAGGGGCTGACTGTGTAACAATCATAAGCATAAACTTGCTCATATGCAAGTTTAGGTTGAAATTGAAGAAAATTAAAACACATCTACGAGAGCCAAAATATGATCTTGAATATTGTTGTTGTTAAGTGCCGTCGAGTCGGTTCCAACCCATAGCGACCCTGAACAGGGTTTCCGAGGCTGTAAAACCTTTACAGGAGCAGAAAGCCTTGTATTTCTCCTGCAGAGCAACTGGTAGTTTCAAACTGCTGACCTTGCAGTTCGCAGCCCGATTCGTAACCACTATGCAACCAGAGCTCCTTGATCTTGAATATTTCCCACCTGAATTAAGAAACAATTTCATGGATAGATTTGGTACATTGAACACTAATGACTGAAGACCAGAGAAGATGCGGATGACATGAAGAACATCATACATGAAGAAAACAAAAGTTCATTAAAAGGTAGGAAAAAAAGAAAAGAACAAAGTAGATGTCAGAAGAGTCTCTGAAACTTGCTTTGGAATGTAGAGAAGCTAAAGCAAAAGGAAAAAATGAAGAAGTAAAAGAGCTGAACAGAAAATTTTAAAAGGCAGCTTGAGAAAACAAAGTAAAGTATTACCATGAAATGTGCAAAGACCTGGAGATAAAAAACCAAAAAGAACAGGATCAGTATTTCTCAAACTAAAAGAACTGAAGAAAGAAATCTAAGCCTTAAGTTGCAATATTCAGGAATTCCAGGGGTAAAATGGAGTTCTGGTGTGGTGCTGTAGGATAAGCAGTGCACTTCTAATTGCAAGGTTTGCAGATCAAGCCTACCTCAAAAGTTCTATACAGGGCCACTATGAGTCTAAACTGACTGAATGACACTTAGCAAAAACAATGGGCAAAATATTAGATGATGCAGTATGCATCAAAAGATGGAAGGAATACAGAGTCATTGAACTGAAAAGAGCTGGATGATGTTCAACCATTTCAAGAGGTAGCATATGATCAAGAACTGATGATATTGAAGGACTAAGTCCAAGCTGCGCTGAAGGCATTAGTGAAAAACAAGGCTCCAGGAATTGTTGGAATATCAATTTATATGTTTCAACAAACTGATACAATGCTGGAAGTACTAGCTCATCCATGCCAAGAAATTTGGAAGACAGCTACCTGACCAACTGACTGGAAGAGATCCATATTTGTGTCCATTCCAAAGACAGGTGATGCAATAGAATGCGGAAATCATCTAACAATATCATTAATATCTCAGGCATGTAAAATTGTGCTGCATATATTTTAAAAAACAATTGCAGTAGTACATCAGCAGAGCAATGACAGAAACTGAAGCCCATCCAAAAGAGGACATGGAATGAGGGATAGCATTGCTGACCCCAGATGAATCTTGGCTGAAAGCAGAGAATACCAGAACCATTACAACAAAAAGAGAAATTACTTTTCTTCTAGGAAATTCCATAAATTTTAACAAAGCTTAATAGTGGCAGTGTAGGGAAGGAAACAATTGGAAAATATTTAGATACTGCTCAAAGAAAAAGACTCTTTTTAAAATTAGTTCTTGACTAATTTTGATACTCACTTTTAGATTTCAAATTTTCAGATAAGTTTACTAGGTTTATACTAAATTTCTCTATAGCAATCATTCCCATATACTAATTTCCACTGTACACCTTATATAAAATCCATTTAATTAACTTTCTGCAGGTAATTTTTTAAAATATAAAATTGCCATAATTTCCTGAATTTTCTCATAGAGAATTAAGGCAACCAGCATCTATGAAGAACATTTCCTGCTTTTGTCTCCCACTCTACCCTTTCTTAAAATTTTGAAACATTAGCTTGATTTTTTTTCTTGGATTGGAGAGGATGCCTACCTCCTGTTAAAATGCAAGTTTGTAGAACAAACAAGATGGCGGATCGGGTGGACGTGTAGTAAAGAGTTCCGCCAGCAACAACAC